CCTGCCCACAGTCCTCCAAGGGGAGAGTACTCCAGCTACCCACAGTCCTCCAAGGGGAGAGTACACCTGCCCACAGTCCTCCAAGGGAAGAGTACTCTACCTACTCACAGTCCTGCAAGGAGAGAGTACTCCAGCTGCCCACAGTCCTCCAAGGGGAGAGTACTCTACCTACTCACAGTCCTGCAAGGAGAGAGTACTCCATCTGCCCACAGTCCTCCAAGGAGAAAGTACACCTGCCCACAGTCCTCCAAGTGTCCCCAGGGTGCCTTTCCCAGGGTTATGCATGGGCGATGCCTCCCGTGGTCTCAGTGCAGTCCTAGGGGCACAGCCCAGGGGCTCAGTAGCGGGAGCCCCTGGCCCCGCCCTCCAGGATTAAGCCCCTCTGTGCAGACCAGCCCTCACACGTGTGATTTTATAATCTTCCTAACAGGAGAACCCAGCTTTGGCGGTTGCAATTAAAACCTGTAAAAACTGTACTTCGGACAGCGTCAGAGAGAAGTTCCTTCAAGAAGCCTGTAAGTGTTCTAGATATTTATGTGACACTCTGGCTCTGTGTCTGTGATGCCTGAACTGTTTCTGAGGAAGTCAGGAAGCCGGCCCCCTGGCATGTGTAAGGCCGCCAAACCTGCATCCTTGTGTGCACCCTCAGCGCCTTTACGCAGGCGGCCCCCTGAGAAGTTTCCAGGTAATGCCCATGGGGTGCTATTGTCCCTGAGCACCTGAAAAGAGGCAGTGGGGCAGGTGCCCCACCCCCAAAGCATGCCATATCCTGGAACACACGGGCAGGGATGACCTCGGGGCCCTCTGGACCCAAGTCAGACTTAGCCGAGCATGCACTGATGTCACGGTGCCTTCAGGGGCTCCAGCTTGACTGGCAGCCCTGAGGGCGCAGTGTGGGTGATGCGGCCCTGGGCCCTCCGCGTGCGCTGGCTGTTCCTCCTGGAGCAATTCCCGTAGAACCTGTCTCGGGAGCTCCCCTTCACGGACACACACTGGCTTCATGCCCTCGTCAGTAAATGCACCTGGTGTGAAGTGGGCTTTGTGATGAAGCTCGCCCGCCCCACTCCACAGTATGGGTGCCCCAGGGCCTGTATCCTGGTGCCCTCTCTTCTCCAGCTTTCAGCAGCTGGTATGTCCCCGAGTGGCTCTTCTGTCCCTTGTCACTCAGCTCTCAGGACATCTCGGCCTAGCAAAGACCCTCCCCGTCTGCGCAGCAGCGTGGTCCGGACAGTGTTCCTGTGTGGTGTCCGTGCTTCAGAAGGCAGGGTTGCGTTGCTGGTTTGTAGGACTTGAGTCTCCCCGGCAGCTGCAGGAGGTAGTTTAGTAGGAGCTGGCAGCTCTGGAAAGGTTATTTCGGGCCTGTGTGAGGTGCCATGTGTGCCCTCTGCACACGTAGCCCGACTCAGATCGCCAGCCTCGTGAAGGCCCAGGCTTCCCTAGCGCTCCTGCATTCACAGCCTTGGTCATGGGGTCCAGCTCTGCCACAGGTGGCAGAGACCAGGATGTAGCCAGCAGGTTGTATCCCAGCAAATGCAGGCAGTGGCCTAGTAGACAAATACCTAGTGTCCCAGCTGCTGCTCCACTTGGGGAGCACCCTGCTAACCATGTGGCTCCCAGTCTGCGCCAACTCCTGGGTCCGTAATTCCCTCCCTGCCCACATGGACATGTAGACAGTGGACTGCATCAGGCAGACTGCCTGCTGTGATGCACTACGGGTTTTTCCTGATTGTTGGCATCGTGTTTGGAAAAGCTGCTCCGCCCTGGAACATCTCAGGTTTGGGTTCTCCCTGTTGAAGGGCAGGCGCCTTTGCAAGACTCTGAGGTGGCCGTTGGGTGCATTGCCAGGATGCAAGCTAGCTGCCCAGCGAGGGAGCAGGAGACGGAGACGGAGTGGCCCTCCGGCAGGGAGGATCCTGGGGCTCCATCTCTGAAAGGTGGTGGGAGGTGGCGGAGATGTTGGGAGGTGGCGGAGATGTTGGGAGACTGGAGTGCAGCCATCGGGATGCAGAGGGCCTGCCTCTGGTGGTGCTTTTGGATAACGGTGCAGGTGGAGAAGCTCACTGGTTAATAAGGAAGCTAGTCCCCTCCTACAGCCGCCGACTCCAGGGGAAATGCCGGAACTTGCGCGCGGGCGTGCGCTCTACAGAAATGCATCCCACTGCACGAGGCACGGCGAATTTGCATTTCTATGAATAAGAATTATGTGCCTCCTAGCCGATTTTCTACAACTTGGCACGGTGTAAACCCTTAGACAGGGAAAGACCAGACTGTCCCAGTGAGTGAGTGAGCCGGGCTGTGCTTTCGGGTTTGCTGTTTGCATGTCTTCAGAATTTTCCTCATCCTGTGGTGTGTCGTTCTGTGGCAGGGGACTGACATGGAAAGGTAACTGCTTCGGATACTGCTCTTGTGAGCTGGCTTGTTAGGATGGGAGTTGACCCGGCATGGGTCCTCCAAAGAAGCCCTACCATCTGCACGTGAAGTCTGAGAACGACTGAGCCTTGTGGGTCGCCGTTAGGGTAGAACGTGGTTGTAAGAGGGCAGTCCTGAGCCTGGCGGCTGCTGGTCCCAGCTAAAAGAAAAGCTGCTAGCCCTGTCCCCATCCACAGGCCCCAGGCACACAGGGCTCTGTGCAGCACCCCCTGGCCATGGGGCTCCACCAGGCTTGGAGATGCCCCAGCATAGCTGGGCTTCACTGCATGTGCCTCCTGTGGGGTCCTCATGCTGCCCAGGAACTGGTCTCTGGAAGTCCCAGTTACTGCCCATAAGTATCGCCTCCAGGGCCCCCTTACAGGACACGCCCAATGCCCAGTGGTCCAGTCAGTGGTGTTTACAGAAAGCGCGCTGCCTAGTGCCGGGGACCTGCTGAATGCTCGATGGAGCAGGTTTCCAGAGGGGCCGCCCTGACATGGCAGAGATCGTAGGTTTGTCTTTAACACGCACCCTCGGGCTCCCGGCCCCTGGCCCCACTCCTCTACCAGCTGTGCCTGTGTGTGGGGACAGGGCCAGCCCACTGCACATCTTCAGCTCCCTGGCTGGGTGGACTAGTCCCGACATTTGCTGCAGAGTAACCAGGCGTGTATTTCCTCCCCAGTAACCATGCGGCAGTTCGACCACCCTCACATTGTCAAGCTGATCGGCGTCATAACGGAGAACCCCGTCTGGATCATCATGGAGCTGTGCACGCTCGGGGAGGTACCCCACCACACCCCGGATTAGGGGAAGCAGAAGAGGGCCTACCATCAGACAGGGCGGGGCTCAACCTTCACCTTTAGACTCCCGGGAACCCCAGCCCCAGGCAGCAGCCTCGAGAGGAGAGCTAGTCCGGTCACCTCATGAGCAGGAGCGAGATGGAGGGACAGCTAAAGTGAAACGCCCTGGTTCCTTCGGAGGACCTTTTGGGGGCCTGGGGCATCGGTTAGTGCCACAGGGCAGGAGCAGGTGGGCTAGTTTGGTTTCCTCCGGGCGGCCAGCGCTGGCTGAGCTGCCGCAGCCTCGCCTCCACCGGGAAGCCACTGCAGGACACCGTTTCTCAGGCCTGGGCACTAGTCGAGGTGTCAGATCTTTGCTCCGCCTGCTTGGGGACCTGGGCATCACAAACATGCCCCTCCCCGGCCGCTGCCTCTCCACTGAGCACAGTGGCCTAATGAAAGCTCTCTGTTGGGCCACCTCCCTCCCTCTGGGTTTTGTTGGTCCTGAGCACCCAGCATGCCACCCTGGGTGACCTTCACACACGAGCAGGTCTCCGCGCCATCCTCTGCCCTCTGAGTGTTGTGTACTTAGTTTGTCCATAGTATCCTACTGCTTTTGCTTCTCCAGAATACGGTGATTCTTCTGGCTTAAAAAAAACCCCCAAAAACGCCAAATGTTTGTTTCAGATTTTAATAGAATTGGGATGTTGAAGTTACCTGCCCCTCTCTGCCATGTTAGCACTTAGCTAAGCATCTCAGGATAGACCAGTAGTTCTCAACCGTCCTCATGCTGTGACCCTTTCATACAGTTCCTCATGTTGTGGTGAACCCCCCCCCCAACCATAACATTATTTTTGTTGCTACTTCATAACTGTAATTTTGATACTGTTATGAATCGGGCGACCCCTGTGAAAGGGTCTTTCGACCCATAGGTTGAGAACTGGTGAGATAGACTGACTATTCTAAGGATGGACTTCTCTGCGTCAGACTCGTCGGGGAGGGGGAAGGGGATGGCATCCTCCCACCTCACTGCCTGCAGCATCCCCTCAGGTGGGCCCAGAGGGGCGGTTTATCCTTCTCCATCTCAGATGCCTGTGGGGCAGTGAGGCCGTCTCCCATCCTCCCCTCAGGTGTGCCCTGAGCATGACAAGGGTTGAAACGGAGGTGAGCTGCCCGGGCTCATGTATCAGGCTTGTTCCCATAGCTGCATTGCTTTGTTCTTCAGCTGTCTCCACTACGTAGCAGTGTTTTATGCTCTGGAGGTATCCCTTTCCCCAGAGCACATCTCTGTGTATTTTTCCCCAAATGTTTGTGCAGTCAAGCCATAAACATGATTTTACCATAAGTTTTTTTTTAAGCCAACAAACCCTGGACCTGAGCTGGGATGTGTCCTTCACTCTGCCCTTTTTGGCGGGGGTGGGGAAGCCGTGGCCCTGGTAACAGTGCATTGGGGGGACACTCGGTCGTCGGCATTGCCGCCCCACATGGCGTTTTCACTTACGTTTCTGTTCTCTGTCCCCCGTTGTTCTTCACCTTTGTCACCGCCCGAAAAGCTGAGGTCATTTTTGCAAGTCCGCAAGTACAGCCTGGATCTGGCCTCTCTGATCCTGTATGCCTACCAGCTCAGCACGGCTCTTGCGTATCTAGAGAGTAAAAGATTTGTGCACAGGTCAGTCCTGACGCTCACAGAGCTGACCCCCCAGGGCCACCCTGCGGCTCCTGAAGCAGGGATCCTGGCCCACAAGGCTGTGCTCTCCAGCCGGTCAGCAGGATCAGCGGAAGCCAGCTGGGCGTGGGCGGGACAGGGAGCTGGAGGAGCAGAAGCAGACCACCTTGCAGATGACACCTGCTGCTGCTGAAGAGCGTCATCAGTGGGTTAAAGCAGGAGTACATGGAGCTTTGTGCGAAGCATTTCCTTTCGTACACTGGCCCCGTGGGCAGTAGCAGTGACCGTGTTAAGGATTGCATGCATGCTGGGGCGGTGGGGAGGGGGGGGCTATGTCTGCAGTGAGAATGCCCCCATCTCCTCAGTACCCATTAGCTAGCTTTCCGGCGGGCACTGCAGGGAGGTCCTCTTTCACATGGTACTGAGGCCTCGGGCCCTCGGCTGGTGTTTCCTTGTGTTACAATGTATTGCCCACAATTCTCACCCAGGGACATTGCTGCTCGGAATGTCTTGGTGTCCTCCACGGACTGTGTCAAGCTGGGGGACTTTGGACTGTCTCGGTACATGGAGGACAGCACTTACTACAAAGGTGAGAGGTCAGAGATCAGGGCAGGCACCACAGGTGCCGAGCTCTGTGTTTTCCTTTTTCCAACGAGATGTGTGCTGGTGGCTGACCAAGGTGCAGGGTAGCCATTCCATGAAGGGGGGTTTTCTGCAAGTGGTGCTGCAGCAGTGAGGCATCCACTGCTAGATGCACCTCGCCTTCTCCACACACCCTCCCCTGGCCACCGCTTTCGTCCACGTGTCCTTGTCTGTGGGGATGTGCTGGTCCTGTCCCGCAGGGAGGAGGATCTGAGGCCCAGCACTGGCAGAAGAGGTGTGGGAGGTTGCCCTGCTGGCACCTGTTCCCTCAGGAGCGGCGCCCCAGATGACCTCTCTGTCTGCTCTTCCTGGTGAGGGAGTGTGCCAGCAGGCCATTTGTAACACCTAAGTCCAGATGTGGGCCTTCTGTGACAGCTCAGGTGGACCAGCCCCTCTGGGGGACCGACACCACTGCTTTACATGTACTCCCTCCCGACCTCCCTCCAACCGCAAGGGCTGCCAAGAGTCATCCTGCAAAAGGGGTTTCCCTGCAAGCAAGCACACACCGGCCATCACGTGGTTGAGCTTTCTGTTTGATACTGGCAAGTACGAGCACGTCCCCGGGGCCAGCAGGGCGTTGACGCTGCACTCTCATTTTGCAGCTTCCAAAGGAAAGTTGCCTATTAAGTGGATGGCTCCGGAGTCCATCAATTTCCGACGTTTCACCTCAGCTAGTGATGTGTGGATGTTTGGTGAGTGTTCTGTCTTCTGTCATCTATGAGATAAAGGCGATCCCCCTGTGGACGCTGACTTGTCTGGCCTCGCCTGGCCTCCTGTCTGGTGAAGTTTCCACTCGGTCCCTGTGATGGCTAGTTCCAGGCCTGGTCCTCTGCGCCTCGTTCCCTCTTCTTAAGCTGTCCCTTCCTCTCTCCTCCCCTTTTCTGTCACGTGCTGGGCTGCTAACCACAAGGTCAGCAGTTCAAAACCATCAGCCAGCCGCATGGTAGAAAGATGAAGCTTTCTGCTCCCATAGAAAGTTACCTCCTCTGAAACCCGAGGGAGCCCTTCTGCTCTGCTGCGCGGGGTCATCTGAGCCCAAGGGGAGTGGGCTTTCAGGGGTCGAGGCTCCCCTTCCCCTTGGTCACAGTCTCTGCCTTTCCCTGGCACCCTCTGTGCTTGCTCCTGAGCAACCCCCGGGCCAGAGCACACTTCAGCCTAGGGTCCACCCTCCCTGCAAAGCTCACCGCTGTCTTTCCATCCCACCCTCAGGTGTGTGCATGTGGGAGGTTTTAATGCTCGGTGTGAAGCCTTTTCAAGGAGTGAAGAACAATGATGTGATCGGCCGGATTGAAAACGGGGAGCGATTGCCAATGCCTCCGAACTGCCCTCCCACCCTCTACAGCCTTATGACGAAGTGCTGGGCCTATGACCCCAGCAGGAGGCCCCGGTTCACGGAACTAAAAGCACAGCTCAGGTAGGAGCCAGGTGGAGGCTGGGCGTGGGGGGCGGTGGGAGATGTGGCTGCTGCTGCTCTTCACTGAGGGCCATCCTGGGCCCATGCACTTGGCTTTGTACCTGGCTCAGGTGTAGCTGAGAATCTTAACGTTAGCCATCAAATCAGGACCAGTCCCCCCCCCCCCCCCCCCGACTTCTTCCTGGAGCAATTGGGTCCCACAGCATCCTCTCTCCAGTACTCGGGAGTTCCAGCAGTACCTCCCCACCTTGGGTTCTTCTGCTGCCCAGCCCCTCGTTGCTCCGTGTCTGTAGGTGCTGACTTGCTGTTGCTCCCTCCCAGTAAAATGCCCTCTAGTCCCCGTCCCCCGTCCCTGCCACTGCTCGTCGCCGGATTTCTTCTCTTGTTGACCACCTTTCCCATGGGGAACTCCTTGCCAGTCCCCAGAACTGAGCTCAGGAGAAAGCTTCCTGAGCAGCCCAACCTCAAGGAGAAGGCCACTCCCTTGGCGCCTTTCGCACACTCCCAGTGTGACATTAAGCAGTGCGTTGCTTGTTGAGGTCCCAGCCCGTGTAGGGCACTGAGGGCCTGCTGTCAGGATCCACTGGAAGGTCCAGGCTGTGGGGCTGCTTACTCCCTGATAGACGTGCCGTGCCTTTGAGCCCCGCTGGACACCTGGCTGTGTCTCACTCCTTCCTCAGCACCTGACCTGGCATCCGGGCTCTACAACCCTGGGTTGGAACAGAGCCCACTCTGAGACCTGTGCGCCAGCAACATGGAGGGCCCCTGTGATCCTGCATGGGATCCTGTTATGGACCCCTGCCCGGGCTTGCTGTGCCCCTGCTCCCTGGCTCCACAGCCAAGCTGCGTCCCTGGTTGTGGAACGTGTAGTCTTCCTTAAAAGTCACCACGCATCAGACGCCAGGGATCCTAAAAGCCCATTCTGCCCAGCATCCTTACTGAGCCCTTGGACCGTCCAGATGGCCACCACACTGCCTCGCTTCTAGGCAGTGTGGCCCAGTGGGTGCTTCTCCCTCCCAGAGACCGTCTCAGGGAAGAAGTGAGACCTGTGGGCAGGTGTGTCCACCGACGTTTGTTCTGCACCAGTGCTGTTTCTGTGGAGCCAGCATGGAGCAGACGCAGGGAGTCTGTCCTGCAGAGAAGCAAGGTGCTAACTTGTGTCCGGGGCCACGTTGCAGGGAGGAGGGCACCCACTGGCCTGGACCTCAGACCGGCTCCACTCTGCCTTTCACAGGAGAAGCCGTCAGATATTTCTAGAGCTTCTTTGTCTGTTTTCTTCATCCTTAGCCTCCTGCGGAACGTGTCCGCCAACCTCCCATGCCCACACACTCTCATATCAGCCCCCATTACCGCCGGCCTGCCTGGCCACCATCCACCCTAACTGTGGCTTCGTTTCCCTCCTCGGCGTGGCCTTAGCGTTGGGCCTGTCCTTTCTTAGAAGTCCCAGGCCTGCGTTTTTAGTTGCCGGCTGGGCACCATATGTATCCAAACAGCAAAACTGCCGTTTTCTGAGTCCTAAGTTACCATGATACCTTTCTCTTCATCTTCAGCCTGGGGTCCCCCAGCCGCCGAGACACCTCATGCAGGCTCAGCAGAGCGAATCTCCCACCTGGCTGCCCCTGTCACCCAGCTGCATCGCCCCCTAGAGGCCCCTCCCTCTCACTGCCCCTCCCATGGCCTCCTAGCTGACGGAGCCCTCTTCCCCGTCGCCACCTTTTGCTCTTCCTGCTCTCGCCTCCTGGGTTCCCTTCAGCCCTGCGAGCCGTGGTGGGCCCCAGGTGCTACGAGCACCCGTGGTGGCGTGCCTGGCACTGGTCTGGTGGCCCAGCTGACTGAGACACTCTTCCTGCCCTCGAGGAGCTCACAGTCTAGTACGTGCCACCCTACTAGACTGGCGCTCCTTGAGGACAGGGGTCGTCATACTCGCCCGCGTGCAGAGGGGCTCGGGCATGCCACAGCAGCTAGGAGAAGGGTCATCCGCTCACACTGTGGGAGCCCCATGGGCTCTGTGGGCAGCCTGCCTGGACTCTCAGTGCCCATGTGCACAGGGGTTCTCAGGGCCAGCACTGCGGTTGTGTGTCTGAAATGAAGCTGGCTTTGTAGCCTGGGCATTGTAGTGTGGCGCCCAGAGGCCAGTGGGAGGCACCTTTATACCACATGGCTTCTCTGCCGTGGTCTTCTCCAAGATTTGAATGAAGAAATAGAAACTTCCCTGGCCTCCCTGGCCTTTACCTTCAGGCAGCACTGTCAGCAGGCTCCTGTCAGTCACAGGGAAGGACTTGGGCGGGCTTTCACGGGCTGATCTCTGACTCAGGGAGCCTGGCCTCCTCACATCCTGTCTCCTGAGCAGTAGCATGCGCTCGGTTAGGAGGAGAATTGGGTTAACCTTGGATGGCCTGTTCCAAAACCAGACTGCCGTCGGTGAGTCGGTTCTGACTCAGAGCAACCTTGCCAGGCGGACCAGAGCAGGGCTGCCCCACAGGGTCTCCGAGGCCAAGCGTCTTTACAGATGTACACTGCTGTACCTTTCTCCAGCAGGGTAGCTGATAGGTAGGTTTGGAACTATTAACCTTCTGGTTCACAGCCAAGTCCTTTAACCCTTCTGTCCCCCAGCCCCCTTGAATGGCCTTACACAACCTGGAGTATTTTTCCAGGGGTGGACTAGGACCGGCTCTGCAGTTGGGCTGGCATGTCGGTCCTGCCCAACTAGTGAGCAGCAGAGAGAGCAGTGGTGTAGATCTGGGTGAGTTCACATAACTCATTCCCTCACCCTCCCCAGCTCCCCCTGACCAGACTCTTCCCAGACTTAGATTCGCCTCCAGATCTGAAGCTCAGAAGTAGGCTTTCCCAGCTTCGCTTTCTCCTTGGCCCTGAGGAAGGCCGTCGCGAATCACTCCGAGTGACCAGCGTGTATCTGAGTACTTTCTAGAGAAAAGAGGCTATCAAGTTTTTAACGTTGAAAGTTTTGCCCATCATTTGGGCCTGTCTTTTGACTTCCGTGGAGGTGCCAACATAGCACAGAGTGACTAGCTCAGTGAGCTTCCAGGAATTGGACACCCCATGGAGCCCTCCGTGAAGCACATATGTAATCAGCATACAGCATCACATCGTCAGCAGGTAACACTGTGTAACCACGGCCAGAAACCACACACAGCCTTCCAGGAGGCCACCAGCGCAGTATCCCTTCGTAATCACTGCTCAGACATGCACACTAGCACCCACCCCCCAAGTGGTGCTCTCCCTGTGCTGACTGTGGAGTGTGCCGTGGGTGTAGCTTCAGGAAACAGGAGGAAAGGAGTGGAATGGTACAGAATCAAGGAGCCTGGGGGCTGTTGGGAGACCTGTCAGAGGGCCCACCTGAAGGCTGGTGGAGCTACAGTGTCATGGCCAGCGCTTGGTCGGTGGTACACCCTGAACAGGTCATTCCCGCCAGGGCCTGAGGACCACAGGGAGAGCGAGAGCTTGATGCTTGGCACCAGTGGAGCCTGTTTCACCCAGACTACCCTGCTGCCTGCTAGCCTTGCTCAGGGCTGTGCTCCAGCCATGGGGCCCGGTTTGGTGTGGGCCCTTGGCTTCCTTGGCCTGTGGGAGACCTGTTTGGTCTGGGCTGTGGGTTAGCGCCATGGCTGCCTGGTGCCCACATTGGAGCTTTATGGAAGCTGCAGACAGAGCCTGCCAGGTGTACAGGCGGCATTTCATTGGGCTCAGGCTTGGGGTCCAATGTGTGTATGTGTGTGTCTCCCACATGAGAACACACAGAAAACGTGCGGGACAGGTGCCGCACCTTATCAGGCGCCGGCGGTTACAGGTAAGGGATGAGGGCCGGTGTGAGACATAGACCCGTACTGGTTTTCTGGGATGAAGTGAGATCATCTGTCTAAGGCTTTTGGTGGTGTGTGGCTCACAGGAGCCCCCACCCTGAGCACCCGCCATTCTGCTGCTGAGCTCACCACAGACTTTTTCTGGCCAGAGTGGCTGTTGAATTGGCCACATTTGAGATGAGCTGTCACGAAACTGTGGGCACTCTGAGCCATGGAGCCACACGTGGAGCAAGCCGATCCACGTTCAGGTCTGGGAACCACTACTTAACGTTGCTAGGGCTCGTCGGTGCGTGGAACCTGCTGGTGGCTCCCTGCTCACCAAAGCACAACACGCCTTGTTACGGACATTTGATCACTATCTTATGGAAATGTGGGTGGTGAGATGTTCACTTAGAATAAGCAGCCTCTGATACAAGCCAGACTCACATCCACTGCCATCAAATCCATTCTGACTTGTATAGCCCCATAGGGCAGAGCAGGCCTGTTGGGGGAGAGGGGTGGTTCAGCCTTGCAGGAGCACACAGCCTCATCTAGTGGGTTTGAGCCACTGACCTTGTGGTTAGCACCCTGATGATTAACTCACCATGCCACCAGGGTGTTTTTGTTTTGTTTGTTTCAATCATTTTATTGGGGGCTCATACAACTCTTAGCACAATCCATACATACATCAATCGTGTAAAGCACATTTGTACATTTGTTGCCATCATCATTTTCAAAACATTTGCTCTCCACTTAAGCCCCTGGCATCAACTCCTAATTTACCCCTCCCTCCCCACTCCCTTCCCCCTCATGAACCCTTGATAATTCTTAAATTATTATTTTGTCATATATTACACTGTCCAACATCTCCCTTCGCCCACTTTCCTGTTGTCCGTCCCCCAGGGAGGAGGTTATATGTAGACCCCCCTTTCCACCCCACCCTCCCAGTATCGCCATTCTCACCACTGGTCCTGAAGGGATCATCTGTCCTGGATTCCCTGTGTTTCCAGTTCCTATCTGTACCAGTGTACATCCTCTGGTCTAGCCAGATTTGTAAGGTAGAATTGGGATCATGATAGTGGGGTGGGGGGGGAGCATTTAGGAACTAGAGGAAAGTTGTATGTTTCATTGTTGCTACACCGCACCCTGACTGGCTCGTCTCCTCCCCAAGGCTCTTCTGTAAGGGGATGTCCAGTTGCC